CAACCAAACAAAAAGTTCAATAATTCTCGTTAAAATAGAATCTTTTTTCAGCAATGCTTATGCTATCGATTTTCTCATCTTTTGAAATCGAATCTTTCTTGTTTTCTTCAAAAGCACGATCAAATCGTTGTCTTCGATGTCACTACCAAAAGAATCTTCTTTCCAAATTTCGCTTTGATTTATTTATATCGAATGAATAGCTGTAATGAAACTCGTAACATCAGCGATGCTTTTGTGTTTAGGTTATCGTCAATAGTTTTGCCTCCTATATCTTTTGATTGTCGCCGAAGGTGCTCAGTGTGTGTCATCAAATCCATTTGACTCAATATTTTATCTAGTTCTTATTACTGCATTTGTGTCACGTCGATCTTCAATTTACTTGCTACATTGGATATATCAATTTTTGTCCTTTGTTGTTGTTGAATCCGTATGCTGAGTTTGTTTTCACACTGTTCTGAATTGATTCTTTTCATGTTCTAGTTTTCCTCATTTATCCGGATTGAATCGATTTGCCCATGCATACTTGCTTGCTTTTCATGTTCAATTTAAAAATCTTCCTATGTTTTCTTAATTTCATTATAAAAAACCTTATTTGTTTGCATTACGACACCAAATTGTTGCTTCTGATCAATGTTATCATCGCAGATCAATAAATAATAGACTGCACGCACCGATGACTAAATGTGGGTATCTTTCTTCCTTCTTTATATCCACACCACACACACACTCTCATTAGCATTACTTGTCTCGATGTGGCGTGAACATGTTACAATAACGAAAATACCGATTAGAAATTCAGTCATGATACATGTCCTTTTCATTATGAATAAAAATACTCTCGTTTTATGGTTCTCACTATGTAATGCTGAGAATGTATATAGTTGTGTTTGAAGAGAGTAATATATTTACCCTTGTGATCATAAATCAGTTTTACATTTACATAAGCCAGACGAAAATAAATTTACTATTATAATCATAAAACAGTCTTGCGTAATTCACATATATTTTCGATGAAAGTATATACTAGTAAATTTATTTTCGTCTGGCTTATGTAAATGTAAAACTGATTTATGATCACAAAGCTAAATATACTACTCACTTCAAACACAACTATATATATTCTCAGCATTACATAGTGAGAACCATAAAACAAGAGTACTTTTATTCATAATGAAAAGGACATGTATCATGACTGAATTTCTAATCGGTATTTTCGTTATTTTAACATGTTTACGCCACATCGAGTCAAGTAATGCTAATGAGAAGGCTAAAGTTTATGAAAAAGTTGGACATTATCTGCGCAACTATCAATTAAAAACAAAGCAGGCAGACGGGAATTCAGATGATTACTATCTAAATTCAAATAAAATTGGTTTGGGTTTTAATCCACTCTATGGTAGTCCATTTTGTTATACAGTTGCATGCCAAATGGAAGGATTCGGTCATCCAGTATTCAAACTCCAATATGAGTCTTCTTCAACTGGTGCTTGCACAAATAAACTTATACCAAAATTTGTATCTTTCGACTGTCTACCATCGGTAGTAACAAGTGCTAACACTGAAATTATTAATACATTAGATCAATTGCATGAAAGTATTTCAAACAAAATTGAAGTATCCGTTGGTGCTTCTTATGGAGCATTTTCATTCAGTTATACAAATTCCAAAGAGATAAGGTATATGGTTGATAATATTGTAAAAAATGAAATGTCATTATTTTATACATCACCACATGTATCTGAAGTTAAACTTAGTATGTTCGAACCATTCATGGAGCTTTCTGATATGTTTCGGTTTGTAATTGAGAATTTATCGTGTTGTGATGATGATTGGCAGACTGAAAAATATGTTCGAGATTACATATTTAATTATTTTGGTTATACTTTTGTATCAACATTATTATTAGGTGGTATAGCACAATAGAATATCTTTATTAAGCGTGATTCATATCAACATCTTGAATCACAAAGTATTTCAACAAAGAATGTAGCTAAAATTGCATTCTATGTGTCAATGGATGTCTCAGTTGAAAATTAACAAGAGAATTCTCAACTTCAAAAGTTTATGAAAGAAGTTCAAAATAGTTATGCTACAAAACTTGGGGGTGATCCATCTGTATCGGATATGAATGAATGGGCCAAAACTGTACCATCAAATTCTGTCATAACTAAATTTAGCATAAGAGAAATATTTGATTTATTAACCAAATATCGTTTCCCTAATGATTCACAAATACAGAATAAATCAACGTTAATTGAAAAATTACTAAAGAAATATATTCAACAACCATCGTACTGTTATATTAATTGTACAAGTACATTACATGGTACATGTGAATCGTCAGGCTATTTTCAATTTGGTATATGTAAGTGTAAAAACAGTTGGACAGGTATTGATTGTTCAACCTATAATTCGTCTACAAAACCTGTAGTAGTTTATGGAAATGTTCTGAGTGGTACGCTATGTGGGTTTGATAGATCTTATATACGTAAAAATTGTGATGGCTACCGACCGTAGAATGGATGTCCTCAGGGTTGGATTTCACGATCATGGGTTGGTGCTGATTTTACTGTTTGCTATAAAGCTGTTACATCAAAAAATAGTTCAAGCATTGCTGGAACTCTATGTGGTCTTTATAATTTTGGAGGTAAAGAATTTGTCGATATTTTATGTAATTATACGTCAGATGGTAAATGTCCTGATTACTCTAGTTCAGGCTATTCGCCAGTATACTCTTTGTCGTATGTTAATGGATTTTTACAATCGTCAAATGGCTTCTGTATGAAATCGATTTCAAGTTACCCAGATTTACCAGGCACATTACGTGGCATACAATGGGCACAAACAACTGATGAGCCTGCATGTGATGGTTATAATCGTGGACTCTCTCATTGTCCATCTGGATATGCAGTTCAATCATGGATGTTAGAGCCAGCTAAACATTTTCATTTGTGTGCAAAACTATAAACTTGAATGTATTTGTCTATAATCACTTGACTTTCTGTGTTTCATGTTTTTTTTCTAAGGCTAAAACTACTACAGAAATGTGAAAATGTTCTCACATAATTTTGTGGCGTGGTTCGAAAAGTTTTTGTATAAGAAAACTATAGACAACGTCATCACTCTTTTGTTTATTGAATATTTCACATGACAAAGGCGAGGGTGGATGTGGGTGTGAGGAAGATAATAATACCCACATCCACTCCCACACCTGAATTTTTTCCGGTGAATTCCTGCAAATCTCCTATGCTTGCCAGTGGGAACCGACCGGAAATCATCGAGAAAAATCCGTAAAATTTCGAGTCGGAATACTGCTTTCATGTTCCAGCGATTTCCGCTGTTTTCCTATCGAAACTCATCCGTACTTCTTGACCCGAATTATCACACGATAAAGCACTATGATGATCTTTTCATCTTGAGTGTCTTCGCTTTTTCATCAATGTTCTTGATGTATTACTATTTTTTTCTATTTTCAACTCCTGAACTGATGAAGGCAATGATTCTTCTCATAGATGAAACCGGTCTAATTTTTTTCTGGCCGATCTACCGATGAAACACGAGAGACCGATGTGGGCGTGGGTGTGAAAACAACACTGACACCCCATACCCACACCCACACACTCACACCCTCTCTCACATCCGTGACTTCACTCCAGTTAGTTGGACGAACGCTCTTTTGCCGTTTAAACGGTAATGTATTGTCCAAAATATCTGTTTATCACAATAAACGATTTTCTAAGTAAAAAAATAAGTATCGCGTTCTTATTGTTTAAATGCTATATTATGAATGTTATAAACTGTAATTTGTTCATAATTAAACGCATGATTTCTGATAATTTCATATGTAGTAAACGATTATCAGCTTTTGTCGATACCCAATAAAAACAATGAGTAGTTTTCACTTTATTTTCGAAATATTTACCTGACTATGCAAATGAAAAATTGTCCATTTAAAACATAATACACCAATAGAAATATTTGTACAATATTCAAATTTTTATCTTTCTAGAAGTTCGAAAACTTGTACAAAATACTTCGATTCATATGTTATGTTTTAAAAATAGACGAATTTCATTTGTTTACGTAAACATTTTGACTTGTTCGAAATTCAATAGTACTGCTTTTCGAAAACAGAGCGAAAACTACTCATTGATTAGATTAGATATCATTAAAAATTGATTGCGAGCTCTCTTCTGACACACTGATTTTTTTTCTTACTTCTTGAATAGAGTTCGAACTTGATCACATGCTTAGAAATGTGAAATTATGGAACAATTTTCATTGAATGAATGAATGAATGAATTGGCTGCCTGAATTTATTCTTTCTTTCTTTTCTTCTCTGACATTAGAGACATGTGGAGAGAATCAAGAGACTTTTTCCCATTTCTTTTTCTTTTCAGCTTTACATCTTTGTCATTTTAAAAGATAGAAAAAACATTTTTCGTGAAGTTTCTGTTTTCAGATTTTCAAAATCGTGTCGAATGCAGACTCTACACCAGTTTTTTTCGTGAGCTCTGTAGTATTATCGAATCATCCCAATTTGGGGTGAATGTATAAATTCATTTTTATTCTCGCAGGATTTCATAAATCGAGATTTTGTATTGCTTCATGGTGTTTTCTCAAGTCATTCTCTATGGACAAATATTTTCAACTCATCAAGTTTCATCATTTTATGCTACTTCTTTTTTCTTATTGCACGAAAACAACCTTATTTCATAGGGTATTAATGATGTCAGTGACTGAAAACATTAGAGTGGAATTTTTTAACGAAGCAATTGCATTTTATTTCACTACTCATCGTCAACTTTGCATATATTTTCTCTACCGCCAAACTGAATAATAGAAAGAACAGAACAATTAGAATAGTTTTGATATCGAACAACAGAGCTGTTATGGACGATGAAAGTTAACGGTGGAAATGACTTGTCAACTTAAAGGACATCTTGATCGTCACTGTTATCATTATTACCTTTCTTTCTGCTGTGTTATATCTCTACTTATCATTATTTCCTTCATATACATCAATATTTTATTGATATCCTATTAACATGGTTCCAAACTACAAATAAAAAACCATGTCCAGGTATACACAATCTGAGATACAAATAGGTCATGGATGCTGTTAAGAACAAGAACCTTCAGTCATCTAATGCTGCCTGCCAATTTAACATTGCTTTATCTACGCTCTATGCTTGACTTTCTAGCAAATATAGGTATACTTGTCGTGATGGACAAACAATTTTTATCTTCGGAAGAAGAAGCATTTATTGTCCATAAGGTAGACACATTCGAAAAATAGGAATTGCCATTATTACACAAATCGGTGATCGAGATTGCAAAGTTATATATGTTTGAACCGGGCAAACATATATCAGTCTAACTGCTCATCTTAATGATTGGTTCGCTAAATTCATGATCCTGCATCCTCAATTCAAGGTTCCGAAGAGTATGGATCTGGAAAAAGTTTGTTCAGTATTCTGCACTCCACAAGTCATCAGTAAGTACCGTTAAATCATTAACTGCCCAATGGATAGCAAGAATTTTTTCTCGATTACTTTGCAGAAGGCTGGTTCGAAACCCTTCATCGTGTTCTTGTCAAGCATAAACATCTGGACAGACCAAACACAATATTTAATGTGGATGAAAGTGGGTTTTCATCATCGTCAAACGATCAACAAAAAATCTCGTCTCATCTCATTCTGATACAGGAAAGTTTTCCAACAGTACTGATGTGTACCAGTGACCATGGAAAGTAAGCTTGTTTTTTTATGTTCTCAATCTTCTGAGTTGAGAATTTGTTCTTTAAGGGTTCTTCCACTTTACATTATTTGCCAAAATGTGCATCTCTGGAATACATGAATCTCCAAAAACTGCTTTCCAGGAACACGATTTAACGCTAGACTCTCCGGCTGAGTTGAAGAACATATTTTCTTTGATTGATTCAAGCAACACTTAATTTCTTTCGTCAAAGATGCCACGATATTGAACTTCTTTGCCTGCTTTCACACATTATCACAGTCCTCCAACCATTAGATGTGGTAACTCTCGCAAAGGTGAAGATAGTTTGGCGATTACTTCTCAACAAATAGACCATCCAGACGAATTCAAAACCAATTGACAAAAAGCATTTCTGCTACCTGATGAATTGAGAACCGTTGTCACATGAAAGTTCTTGGCTTTAATGTGAAGTTTTTGTTTGTTATCTTATCTTACAGGTGGAAGAATTAAGGTGAAAATATCTACTTCCAAGCCATTGTTCCTCAGGATTCTCATGGGCCGGCATCTATTCTTTTGATCCATGTGCAGTCACAAAAGAGAAACTTCTAGCTTCTCCATCGTCTTCAACGTCCTCAAATACTCAATTGAACTTTAACGATAACATCGATCTGATCAATCGTCGTACCTGTCGTCTTACTCGTTCTTCTTTATTTGATGTATTTTCCACTGAGAATGACTCTTAAAACTTGAAATAGTTTCTTCTCATGAACAGAATTTCTCAGGTCTGAACACTACTGTTACCTCGCTTCAAAGAGTACCTCTTATTTCATCAATAAAAGCACTGATCAAGCACTCACCGATTGACAATATTCGATATAGTACGTTTCTGAACTGCCGGTCACTTTCCATTGAACGAACATGCTTTCCTCTGTTAAATGTTCCAGTATATTTATCTATCAACGATCAAGATAATTCATCGATCTTGATATCGCAATGAACTAGACTTCAAAGTATAACCGATTATCTCGAATAATTTAATTTATATATCTGAATTCTAGATTGTTCATCTACATCATTAGTGATTGGGCATGACATGCAAACGTTATATGCAGACAAACTGACAACTACTCCAGTAAGCGTATCGAAAGAAAACTTTCGAACAGCTTAGTATGCTTTTTTTTAGATGTTGCATTATATCTTCAACTGAAGAGCGAAAGTTTATCCTTGGCAGACTACAATGTAAGAACCTGACATCGATCGAAGCTCTCCTAAAAATCAATAGGAAGGAAAAAATCAGCCTCAAGCACAAAAAATCTACTTCAGTTGTTGTCAAGAAAGCAACCAAAACTAGAGAAGTTTCAGTGAAACGATAAAACCTTCATGAAAGCGATATGAGGAAGTCTTTTAAAACTACTAAAGGCATATGAATAAAAGATACAGATGGAAATGGATGCGCCTAATTTTTTCAATGATGATTTGTCTTGTCAGTGGACGAAAGCGAAAGAATCCTGCTAAAGCTAATGATTTCTTCTTATTATTCTACTGCTTATTATGTATCGCCACCGATGCTTCATTCTATGCAAATGAATCCAGATTTTAGTTTCAATTCGTCATCGAACACTTTGTATTCATATCGTCAAGCATGAATACCTTGTTTTCGATATGATCAAGTATTTTTTCCTCCATGAATCTTATGCCAAGTGTGAGGTTTGCGCAAAGATCTGTTGTTTTACGTGCTCTCAGCACTACCACAGCTCATCGACCACCTACTTTACGCGTAAACAATGTTTTTTTCATACTTGTCTCATTACCACTCAAATGATGTGAATTTTATCTAGCTTCTATTTCGTTTATTCTAAGTTTTAAGAAAATAAATTACATTAAGTGAATACTTCTTTCTTTTTCCGTGCAATAAGAGATAAGAAGTAGCATAGAGTGATATAGCTTGATGAGTTGAAGATTCTTATCTATAGAGAATGACTGGAGAAAATATCATGATAGTTCTGACAAATTCGACTAGCAAAGATTGAACAACTTTTATTTTATATATTCGCTTCATTACATGATAACGATAATTCATTTACCCCAAATTGGAGTGAATCAATAATGTTACAAAGCTTTCGAAGAAAATTGGTGGAGAGCCTGTGTTTGAAACGGTTTTGAACATCAGAAAACAGAAACTTCAAGAACAATATCTGTTCTATGTTGTTTGTGAAGAAAATGTTTGGAAGAAATGTGAAAAAGTCTCTTGATTCGCTATGCATGCTTTATTTTTCTTCTCTAACTTTATTCTCTTTCTCGTAGAGAAGAGTCTTGCAAACATAAATTGTCTGATTGCTTGCTTGCTTGCTTGTGTGTCCGCACTTTACTGATTGGTCGAATAACGATCTCGACACAAAAGGATTCTTTCAAATAAAACTCAACCAAAGGTAATCGAGGTCGAGAAACCCGAATCTGAGATCAGTTTTGTGAAATTTTTTTGTGGGCCATTTTTTTACATAAAGGACCACTTTTTTACGAAAAAGAAATTGTTTTATAAAGTTTGACCAAAGGTTTTTGAGGGCAGAGAATCGATTGATACCATTAGTTTTTGAAAATTCTGTTTCAGCTAGTTTTTTTTGCAAAAAAAAGCCGTTTTTTAGTAAAAACAATTTTTTTAAAAGTTTGACCAAAGGTTTTTGAGGTCGGGGAATCGATTGGTACCGTTAGTTTGTGATAATTTTGTTGAACTAGTTTTTCTTAGTAGAAAAGGCGTTTTTAGTAAAGGAAATTTTTTTTAGAAAGTTTGACCAAAGGTTTTCGAAGTCGAGGAATCTTTCAACATGAAAATTCTACAAATCCAGCCTTTTCTTGCTGAAGATGCTGAACTTAATAGGAACACACACCGACAGTGCACTTTCTTCGATTTTTGAAATTATATGAGTAGTTTGCTGAATAGCTCAGAAAAACCATTTCTACGAGAAAGAGCTGAGCGAGTCCTCGAACGAGCGTTACTTGTAGAATAGAAGTATTTGAAACCTTTTCAAAACAGAAAGACAAACATAGATTTAATAAAAGGAGAAAATCTAAAGTTGTTCCATATCTAAAAGCAAGTTTTATAATCAATAACTTCAATCGATAAGTCGTGTGATATTCTATGGGGTACCTTGGTGCATCGGTAAACACGACCATTTATCGTCAAAGTATCTACTGTTGAGTATAAGATGATCGATTGAATTATGAGAAAGAATTCATTTTTGTCAATAAAATGGATTATTGTTTCTAAAAAGCCTACTGCTGGGATTACATTCTTATCATATAAAACACAATCGTCGTGTGTTGAGCGATGAGTGTTGGCAGGATCAACTTTCGATTGAAGATGATAGCTTTGAACAATGCTTTTGAAGTTTGCTTCAATAAATAAAATTTCGATGTATGTATCTATTATTTCAAAAAATTAATTGACAAAGTTAAATAAAATAGTAAAGATATATGAACAAACTTTTGAAATACCCTGTAGATCATTAAATGGAAATAAAATTCATCTTTTTTTTTTTACAAATTTAAAAGCTTTTCTAATAGTCGATACTCAATATGTCAAAGAAAATCGTTGAAAATTTAATATTGTTATGAAGAGACAATTCTTTTTGAATGACCAATTGTCAGCTAACTATTTCAAATCCTATAAAAACTCATATATTAACTGTTGAAAAGTATCACATTGTCAAAAAACAAATACTTCTACCATTTTCTAACCTTTGAACTTAGAAGAATTTTCTTCACCTATCCTAAAAATACATGCAATGTCAGGAACAGCGGAACTTCTTCAATGTTAGAGTGTGGATGTGCTTCGACAGACAAAAAACGGTTATACCAACGTTTACATGCGTTAAAATAGCATTTTACCTTTCTAACATATTTAAACGAGTTTGTCTTAGTTTTTTTCAGTAGATTTTCATTATAAACTATAAAAAACTGTCCCATTTTGTTGCTACGAAGTCAATCACGTTTAAAACAAGAAGTTTTCGTTTTTCTTTAGATCATGTGAAATTGACCGATAATTCTTCATTTGAAGGTGTGAAGTGTATAGACTTGTAACTTCTCTTCAACAATCAGAATTCCGACAATCACACCCACACCCACCAAGTTTTGCATTGGCTGAGAAAAGTGAAATAGAATCTGTTCGAAACAAGAGCTAAATATACATGCTATATGTGATTCAGGGAATGAATTTCCAATATTCGACAAAGCGAAACATTTCTTTTGTGCTTGCATCGAAAGAAAAAGTTTTATCTTTTAAAACATGCATAGAATATTATCTGAATAAAAATCAGATTTACAAAAGTTGAATACATGAGTCGAATCTTTGTGTGTCCTCTGTCAATGGCATACCAACAAGAACAAAACTATTCTCTCTCCTTATCATGACTGCTCACAGTAAAGTTGGTCTTCAGTATATCTTATCTACCATTTACCCATGTCACCATCAAACACATTATATAGATTTTGAATCGAAAAACACCGCTTGTGACAACTTCTTAAACATACAATTTTTATTTTGTTTTACAGATACAATCGATGTTATTAACACTTGTAGTACTTGTATTCTGGAGTTGGATTTTGATCTCTCATGGTGATGACACAATTGTTTTTACACGAGGCGAAGGCGGTTATTTCTGCATAAGAATTCCATCGATTATAACTACTAGCAAAGGTACTCTATTGGCTTTTGGCGAAGCTCGACTATTCAACTGTAGTGATTACACTCAGATGGATATTGTTTATAAACGAAGTGTAGACAATGGACAAACATGATCGCTAATGCAAATCTTGTATCGTGGAAATTCGTCTGCTGATGGTTTCAATCGAGTGAGTAGTGTAGCACCAGTACAATTAGAATATCAACAACGCATCCTCGTTCCCTTTTGCAAGAACAATCTTATTGTCATGCAAACTTTTTCAGATGATGATGGTCTAACGTTTTCCGAACCAAAAATAGTGCCCAATGTGACAAAGTCGAATTGGAAGTGGGTTGGACTAGGTCCACCTGCTAGTCTTCTGTTGAAATCTGGATCAATACTCACACCTGCTTATTATTCGACTTATTCGCATGACGACGGTCTATTTTCTACTGGCTATGTTATGTTGAATGATAACAATGGTGATATCGATAAATGGTATCTGGGTGGAGAATTCGAATTGTATACTGACTTTCCAAATATATTTCCGAACGAAAATCAAGCTGTTGAATTATTACCCGATGTCAATTCAATATTTATCAACGCTCGTTCATTCGGAACACGGCGCATCGGTGCTTATAGTCATGATGGTGGACGGAGTTTTTTTATAGTTGACTTGTTGAATACTCTCGTGCAGCCTTTAACCGGATGGCAAGGCTCAACAATTTATTATCAAGCTCTTCGCCAATTATTCTACACGGGTCCGACAGAGACTTCCATCTTTCGTAGCAATCTGACATTGTTTACAAGCAAAGATAGTGGAGTCAGTTGGTCGTTGATCAAGACGGTATTCAAGGGTCCATCGGCCTACTCATCGCTCATAGTTATGAAAGATCAATCAATTGGATTATTATATGAATGGGCGAATCAGATTGATCTTGTCTTTGTACCAGACTATGTGACATTCACTGTAGTTTGGAAACCATAGGAATGAAAGAGTAGTTCTTGAATATTCTATTTGAAGATAGAGTTGGTAGTGTCCTCTCTTCATGCACACCACATCCACATCTATCCGTTCTCAATTTCCAATTAAAATGGAATAAATTTTATCATTTAAAAATACATTATCATTTGATATAATATTTTTATCTATTAAAAATTCAATGACATTTTCTTGGACACTAAAATTATAATCTGGAATAGCACATTCTGATGATTCACCACCTTTCATGAACTGTGACAAAACAAAATAGAAATCTAATACAAATACAACTTGTATTCGATTCAGATCTTTTTCTACATGATGTCCCATCATAGAATAATGATACTATTATAAAATTCAATAAATCATATTGAACAGAGGAAAAAAAAAATGAAATAAAATTAAAACCATTGAGTATTTTTTTTTAATGATCAAAATGAGTATAATCCAATAATAATAGGAACAATGTAACCTACAGTTTTATCAGCTAATACTTGTATAGATGCTTTTGATGTTTGTATTTCTTCAACTAATTTAATTATTTGTTTAAATACTGATTTATGACTAAGATTTATTGCACAAATTAATAAAATTCCATATAATTTCTTTCTACCATCAGCAACTTGTGAACTAACATTTTTTTAAACTGTTATATGCTGCGCTGGTTATTAATAATCCATTATATATTGATGTACCATCAATAACTTGACTATCAGTGGACATTACTCCACTTGAAAAGACTCGTAGTATATCGTTATATTCAATAAGTTTTACACGAATAGTTTTTTTCTTATAAACGAATTAATGTTTCTTATGGAGTTTGTAATGATACTAATTTTGTTAAAGCATCGGATGTTTTTCACTAAATAGAAAAATTATTAATTTAATTTAAGTTAAATGAAAGGCATTTTCTATAATAAGAATTTGTTACGAAAAATAGAAAGCACATCATAATGGATTCTAAGAAATAAATTTCACGAGAATACGAAAAGTTCCTAAATCCAATTTTTCTGTTTTAGGAGAATAATAAACATCGTTTGGGAAGCCATTTAAGAATATTTGCATTGAATTCGTTCGACAGACGAAGCTGATTAACGGTGCCGTGAAATATTGAACGACACTTGCGATCGTGTACAATGCAGTCCATCGCTATATGTTTTGCTTGATAATATTGTGGCATAGTGTATTCTTTGATTGCTCGATATTTATATAGTTATGTCCTATGAACGAAGAAAGAAAGGCAAAAGTATGAGTTAGTTCGAGTTTATTCCTCATGGATTTTCAAGTCGTCACCGAAATGCACCACCACCAAGCAACAAGCGTGCTATAAAAGTACACAAGAAAGCCTAATATGTTTTGTCCAATAGATATTTCGACGACAAGAACAAAAAAAATGCACTGCGACTCCACACTTAAAACCAATACCCACATCCTAGTCCGTCATCGCCACTTTATCAGCCATACCTCCTAGAGCTTCGCACGCCTTCACTTGGACACAGATATCCTGAACTAGCAATGCCATCAAAAGTCCTTTGACTGCATCATTTCTACTTGCTTTTTCATTAAAATTTGTATTTCCAAGAACTTCGCACGCCTTCCATTTAACATTTGAATCCTCCTTCGTGAATGTCTTAATAATCATCTTATTGTGGCGTTCTCAGTCTCTTCTGTTGTTGATTTCTAAGTAGAGTGCAAAGGTGAAGCAGATAGATAAGAGAGGAGAAAAAAGAGAAGATAATATTTTCTTCATTATTCATCTATCGACAACATGTGGCTGTTGTTCCTTATTGCTTCTGTATGTCTTCTGTGTCTTATCTACTTGGCTATTTTAATTTGTCCTCGACCGCTACATGGTATTTCACTTGCTGACCATTACAGCCCCATTTTTGGTCACTTATTAACATTTCTACAGAACTTCGATCATCTGCACGATGCTCGTCTTCATGAGGCACTTCGACAGGAATCCTTAGGACATTCGTGTTTTCAGGAACTTCTTCCATTGCTTCCACCTCGTGTCGATCTTCTCACTCCTGAACTTGTCGAATTTGTTCTACGCTCTGAGTTCAATTCATTTGAAAAGGGCTCAATATTCACGGAGCCTTTTCTTGATGTGTTCGGCCAAGGAATACTGAATGCGGACGGTGCACAGTGGAAATTACACAGACGTATGGCTCAACATCTCGTCACTCGAAATGGAATGAACAAGGCACAAAATGTATTTATTGAGCATGCCAATCGATTCTTGAAGCTATTGAAAGATGTGAAGACTGCTGACATGCAAGTCCTATTTCATCGTTATACTATGGATTGCACTTGTGAGCTTGTTTGCGGTTTCGATCTCAATTCTTTGTTGATGCAGTCAACAGTTCCATTCGTGAACGCATTTGATAGTAGCGTAGCCATTTGTGTTCGTCGATTTCTCATGCCGAAGTTTCTGTGGAAATTCAAACGGTGGCTTAACGTGGGCGATGAAAAATTATTGAAACAGTACTGTCAGGTGATCAATCGATTCGTGGCGGATATTGTTGAGCAGCACAAAATAGCCGGAGACGATCTATTGAGTCGATTGTTAGAGGAAGAATACATGACGAAAGAACTATTACGAGACATTCTAGTGAATATGATCGCTGCTGGAAGAGATACGGTGGCTGTAGCATTAACTCATCTATTCCATATGCTGCACAAGCACCCAGATATTGAACAGAAATTGCTCGATGAATTGTACCTAAGAGCAAATAACGTGATCAATGAAGAAACACTGTCAAATCTTATCTATATGGACTGCGTAATTCTTGAGGTGTGTCGCCTGTATCCTCCGTTACCTCTCGACTTCAAGGTTTGTGCGAGAGACATCCGACTTCCTGGAAGAACGGATATTCTATTGCCCAAGTCAACCATTGTCTCGTACACACCGTATCATTTCCATCGTCTCTCATCCATTTGGGGTTCGGATGCGATGGATTTTAAACCGGAAAGATGGTTAGATGTAGATGGAAAAGTTAAAATGGAAAGTCAATTTAAATTCCTTTCGTTCAATGCTGGACCTCGTCTTTGTTTAGGCAAAGCGATGGCTCTGTTGGAAGTGAAAACATTGGCTGCCATTTTATTGAATGAATTTCATTTCAAGTTGGATGATGAGAAGAATTTCAACACACGTATGAGATTCACAACTACCTGTCCATTTACCAATGGACTCAATATGAGTGTCATGCGAAGAAAACACTTGTCAACAGACTCATAATTTCGTCAGCTTTAATTCGTTCATAGATTTTCTCAATCATAGATAGATGATTGATGACATTTGTGTTATGTGATAGTGCAGATCATTCTACGATCACTTTTTACGGAAAAGATACTCTTTGAATTGTTTGACAGAGAACGATCGATATCTCATAGGTAACTAAATGCCTGATTTCTGAATAAGCACCATAGATCATTTTTATTTGAAAAATAGGGGCGTTTATCGGTCATACTACCTCAACTGAAACTATGAAAATACTGCTCACTGTCGTATGAGTTTCGAAAACTATTTAGACAATAGCCTGAAATAGAAAGAAATCGAATAAGATGCAAGAAATTCATCCATGAAACGATCATGCAACAAGTGATAAGTATTAGCAGTGCCAGGATGTGGGTATGGATGTCAGTCTTCTATTCACTCTTGTACCTACACCCACGCTCCACACCCACACCCCAAAATACATTTCACTGCATTCTCTTTTGCTTTAATACTCTAATTGTATTCTTTGGACACGTGTGCTCAGCTGAGAAGTTTTCGGGACCAGAACTATATAATTTAGGAAACATATACATATATTTACTTTTAAGAGATAGAATTTTCAAACCTCACGTTTTCTAGTCTATAATCGAACAATAACAGTAGGTATATTACGGAATGGTTGCCTTTGGTATTTTCAATATTTTCCGCATTGTTGACAATAATTGATAAGCTATGCATTGTGTTGCAAATCTACCAAGTGGCATTGAGATCAGATTAATAAAAAAAAGATTATTCAACTCTCTTTCTGTATGAAAAAAGGTAGAGTGAATCTGAGTGTTCCTTTCATCTACATCCACACCCACTCTCCCTGGAGGAGAGAATCAAAAGTGTTATTTCGAAATGACATGAAACTAAATCACAAGCAATACTTCTTATATCCCTCTGGCTCATTTTCAATTGGAAAAATGGTCGGCAATAAAATGACTTTATCTATAAGCAAATAATCGAATCGTTACAACTGTTGACATTGTGTGACGAAGCTTTTTTCGATTTCTGTCGAGTAATGATGACAACTGATAACATTACCTTGTGCTGATTTGTATTCATTTTCATATACACAATGGATAATAAAATAAAGCAGCGTATATGTGGAATTCTTGGTGGTTTGTCCTATGTTTCGACAACTGATGTAAGTGATTAACTAAATATATGTATTTACTTTTTCTTTCTTATATTCTCATACAGTATTACAATCAAATGAATGAACTCGTTGGTAAATTATTACCTGGTCATGGTAGTTGTATTCATATTGTTTCAGTTGATATTTTTCCTTATGTTGAATTACTTAATAAAAATCAATCAATTGAAGTTATTGATAATCTTCTCAATGCTGTTCATCAATTAGTAAAAAGTGGTATTGATTTTTTACTTATTGCTTCTAATACAGGTAAAATATTATTAATATGTTTTCGTCTATCTATTGATAATTATTTTTAGGTCATATTGCTGCACCTCGAATAATTGAATATTATCCAAATCTTATTTTTATTCATATAAGTGATGCTGTTGCATTTGCTATCAAAGAAAAAAAATTAAAAAAGGTTTATTTACAAAAAAAAAAAAAAAACTTTAATAAATATTCATTTATTTATAGATCGGTTTTTTGGGAACGAAATTTGCAATGAAATTAGATAGTTGTGTAGTTAAACGTTTTTTAGAACATAATTTAGATATTGTATTACCTCATCATGAGGATATAGATCGTCTTCATCAAATTATTATTGTTGAATTAAATAATAATATATTTACTAATGAATCAAAACAATTTTATATATCTGTTATGCAACGTTTATATGATGAACAACAAGTTGAAGGAATTATACTCGGTTGTACGGGTAAGATTATTAGAAAAGAAAAATAATGAAATATATATTTTATTATTTTTAATTTAGAAATTCCTCAACTTGTTCAACAAAATGAAATTCCTCATTTACCATTATTTGATTCAACACAATTACATGTAAGAATATATAATTTTAATATCTATATTCTTTATTTTTTCTTTTATTTAGGTACAATTAGCAGTCGATTATCAACTTGGTCGATGTGATATTGAACAATATTTACCAGTAATACATGCAAAAAAAGACTAATTCATTTTTTTTTTCTTATTAAAGCAAAATCATTTTATTACACTCGTGTTTGTCTACTGTTGATATTGACGTTTCTTTTGATTTTTTATAATATGATATTTATCATCTTTAAATTCCAAAACAACAATATCTATTTTATATATATATATGAAATAAATAATCTTCATATTTATTATTATTGTCTTAACTAATACGAAATTGAAAATGACTATGCAGAAGAATAGAATAGGTAGACAGTGGGCAACCGAGCAGACATAACCTCAAGTTCTATTTTCCAAAGTTTAAATATTCGGATGAATACGTCTATAGTTAATCTATCTTACCATGAAACTAGATTTCCAGAAATTAACTCAAAGCTTGAGAAAGCCCATTGTCAGAAAATTCGTTCATAAATCTGTAAAGTATACAAGGAGACCATTCGTTTTATCAACTAATCAAAATATCTTAAAATGAAATACTATCTGAAACAAATGATTGGCCCATAGGCTACTAATAAGCGATACAAAAGTCTTTGGACAAATGTCAAACGCCCTGTTAGGTCATATTACCAACTTCGAAATGAATTAAATTTTTTTTTTGTTACAAAGAGCAAAGTCTAAATTACAAATCTTGTATGAGATATATTTTTTCGAAACAAATCTGAGACGAAGAAAAAGCCAAACACCTCTAACAAAGTTCTTGCAACTTCACCATCGAGTAACATCATTTTCTATTATCTGTTAGCTTTTTTTATATTAAAAGAGGAATGAGAAAACACGTTCAATGATGATTTTTGTAGTACAAAGAGTGCTCTTTCTAATGGTGTATTAAAAGTTAAATATGTTCCTAGTTTTTATATCAATAAATAGCTTTTTCTGGAAGACGCTGAGTAATTTGGTCGTTGTCACTACTTGATCGTCTTACAACGATAAAAAAAATTTTTTTTCTGCTAAAATTCTACGATTAGATATATTTCGGCTAAATAACGCGAAAAGAATTCAGCTCATGCATGATTTTTGAAGATGATGGCTGATATTTTTGTAAACTGATGGTTCTTGCAAAAGGCTCAAGAATGGATCCAAAAATGTTTCTTAAAGTTGATACCGATAGATTTTTTGATGCGCTACATTTTGGTGTATTTTTTCTTCAAATTTGATTCATGTAGCTTAAAATAATTGAAAAAAATACAGACTTTTCAAGTTGCAAAAAGGTTTGCAAGAATTTTTTTAAACGTGTTTGGTTTTTGGCTTTTCCTCTATCTCAGATTCGTTCTGGAAAAATATGTCTCATACAAAATTTGTAGTTCAGACTTTGCTCTTTCTAACGAAAAAAAAAAATTTGATTGGTTCAAAAGTTGATAATATGATCTACCAGGGTTTGACATTTTTCCAAAGACTTTTGCATCGCTCATTATTGAGACATCATTTTGGTACAAAACTATGCTAATATTCCCAATCAGCGCGTGAAACTATGTCGAATGATGTGCGGAACAATAAATTTCATGATAAAGGGGCCTAGGTGTGGGTATGAACGAAGAGAAGACTAACACTTACACCCACCACCCCAAAATAAAGTCTTCAAATCGGAACATAAATTCGTAACAGAGCTGGAAATTTTACGAAAAAGTGGACTTTTCATTTGATAGTAGTCTGTTGAAAGTGGAAGTAATTAGCAGTCCTTTTTTGTGGATCCTGTCTGTCCGAGAAGATTTATGCAAACTCATTGCATATGTAGTGTAGTGTACTAGTGTGAATATGAAATATTGATATTTTTAATCATATAATAAAAAATAAAACAAATAAATGATTCTCTGATCTTCATGAAGTTTTTCTAATGTTAGATAATCAATAAAATAAGTCAAATGTTTCTTAAAATAGAATGTTTATCAAATTGATAAATTATTTCAATAATCAAATATGAAATGAATTAGATTTATAAATAATATTTAAGTATCAGTAATTATTATCAACTAACAACAAATTGAACTAAAAGATGTGTTATAGTATGATTGATTTTTTTCACAGTGCATCATCTAACAAAAATTTACTATTGTCAGGTGATATGTAACTGTGCATCTTTATATATATTTTTTAACAATAATATTAATATACCCTTATATCACAATAGTGAATAGCTTGCTGGCTTATACTTGAATAAAGAATATTATTTTCAATTGTCGTTTTAAAAATTGAATTTCAATCATAATAGAAGGGTTCCAATGTAGATTAATTATATCTCCTAATATAAATCAAAAACAAGCATTTTTTTTATTGCAGATCATTTATTCTCTAGAACATATGTTTGATACTTCTCATACGTCTTATACTATATTGATTAATGAGTATATTTTGTGTCGCATAACGCAAAAGATACTAATGAGTCATCACTCTTTCACATGTGACAATAACGATTATGTTATTCGAAAGTAAGAGTAAAAATAGTACAAAACGCTTTTGATTACAAAAATATCAATGATCAAAAAATCATGTATATTTAATATCATGAAAAAATATATAAAAAGTTATTTGTCATGGTCAAAAACTTTTGATATGAATTATTTTATGTTTTCTAAAAATACAAGAAGAAATGTAATTATATAATATTCTAATCATATAATGAAGGATTTGGATGTCAGTCATGACTTTCTTTATATCTATATTTACTATTCTTTTTAATAAGTATAACAGATTGCGATTTATCTTCAAATATAAATAATTTTTCTATTTAGTTCCATGTGTGTATCGATAAAGAAACGATTTTTGACATTTATTTATAGAGTTTCAAACGAAGAAAAATATCATAAATGATAAACAATAACAACAAAAAAAAACCTAAACTGAATAGAAGTTCAAATGATAATAATACCAAACAAAAGAACTATTAGATTCGTTGTATGACTAAAGACTTTTTTGATTCAATTTGTTTAGCCAATTTGAAGGATAATTTTATAATAATTATCTAAAAAAAACATATAAATATAAAAATGAATATAAATCAACGATATAATATAATTACTGTAAGAACCAAACAAGCAATGTAAATAATAACAACCACAAAAATTCCTATTGAAAGACCAATCATGAAATTCTTATTCTCAACATGATTACTTTTGTTTATGCCAGAAGAGATTACAAGAAAAATAATCAAGACAATTCCAATAACAAATAAAACCATTGCAATTATACCAAGCCAAGCAAACTAGAAATTTACAATAGATATATAAAGTGATGGAAAAAAGTTTAGAAACAATGATTTTTATAGTTAATGTAGTTTTCTATCCAATATACTTTATAGTAAGATTTCACAGATGAACAATGATGGCAAGGCTGCTAAAAAACCGAACACGGTATTTTTCAAGCTCTAACAGACTTTGCCAGAGCTATTTTTGAATGGTACCATCTTAAAGAGCACAAAATTCTGAGAAAAATGAGAGGTTGACCGAGTTTTCTACGACCTTCTCATAAAAAGTTACAAGCATCACAAAAATCATGAAAAAACGAAATTTTTTCGAAAATCGACTAAAAACGCCTTTTTCATGATTTTTGTGATGCTTCTAACTTTTTATGAGAAGCTCGTAGAAAACTCGGCGACCGCTTATTTTACTCAGAATTTTGCGCTCTTTAAGATGGCACCGTTCAAAAATAGCTCTAGCAAAGTCTGCTAGAACCTGAAAAATGCCATGTTCGGTTTTTTAGGAGCCTTGCCATCATTGTTCATCTGTGAAATCTTACTATAAAGTATATTGGATAGAAAACTACATTAACTATAAAAATCACTATTTGGATTGCAACTACATGCTTAAAATTAGGAAAAAAACCAAAAAAATCTTTGTTTATAAATTTGTTTCCATCATTCTAGTTCATTTAGTAAATATGCATGTTGTAAAACAAATGAAAAAAAATATATTGATTTTAATAAAGATCTATCAAAAGATAGTATTCGGAAATAATTTTATTATTAATTGACTTTTTATTTCAAATGAGATTTGAATTTGTATTAGATATCACTTTAACTAGATTATCTAGTTCAACGATTTCAATCATTTTTTTTTAATGAATATTGATCACATCGATTTATCTCAATTAAATAAACTAGAATAATTATTAATTTTTATTTCATTCGATCGATAAATTCGTTGAAATCAATTATTTAATTCGATTGATTATTTATTAAAATAAATTTGATGGAAATTTTCTCGAAAAAGAAAACTTTTACAAATCAAATCTCTTTTGTTTTTTAATAAGAATAAAATAGCTATTTAAAATAGAAACATACCACTCGTAAACCAGTTTCATAATATCTATAGGCAACGAATATTCCAAATCCATAGAAAATAACTGATATAAGAGATTGACCAATTTGTGCACCACGTTGAGTTGCTTGCATACGATTAGCAATTTCATTTCCAGATATAGCATTTATTGTGCCGATTATAGAAAAAGCCTAAAATATTATACAAAAAATCTAAGATTTATTTAAAACTAAATCGTTTGATTTTCTATCGATTATTATTAAAAATATTTCTAAGAATATCAATGTTGTTAAATAATCAATCATAAAAATTATCTTTTAATTTGTATCGAACAAGTTCATTTTCACGAGTATGTTCATAGATAAAAATAAAATTCCATTAATGCAAATAAATCTTTTCTTACTATATGATATATTGTAGTCAAAATTCAAAATAAGAATAATTTCGTTTTTTATTAAATAAGATAACTATTGATTGTTATTACTTCTGTATAATATTCATTGTTTTAATAGTACATTTTCTTTGCGGTCTCCTACCTCAAGATCATCAAATAAAAAGAAAAAACTTCAAAATTATAAAACTAATCCTTTATTAATCTCTATTCAATAGTGATTTGAAATATAATGAATATTGCAAAAATTTCTCGAAAAAATATCAGACAATTCTATTTGAACAGAAAATGATAGAAAGCTAATTCTTCTTTTGTCAGATAGAACTTGATTTCTACTTCCATAGACTTCTATTTATATACAAGTAACAAAATTTATTAGGTTTTTATAAATCTTCTAAAGAGCAGGCCATAACATTTTCAACAGTATGTAAACAAAGATAGGTGTTTGTCAGCTACAATGACTTCTATGCTATATGATTGTTCAAAGATCACCTAGAGAAAATTTTCAGCGTAAGCAAATCTATCATTATCAAGACTTACATTTTTTAAATTTATTTTGTAAAATTTTCTGTAAAAGTTTTCAGTATCAAATATCTAATTAACTTAGAACAAAGAATTTAGTACGATTTGTTTCTGATATTATTTGTGAAAATGAAAGAGTTTGAAAAAATTGATATTCATCAATTTTTAAAACTATAAAAACTACTTGTTTTTTTTCTGCCAACAGTAAACGATAACAATCAAGTTTTTCAATAGGTTGTGTACTACAAAAACTTCTAGGATTTTGTATATAGCGTGTAAAACAGAGTTCAATTTTTTAGTAGTTTTATAAAAATCGAATACATATGAATAGAAATTTTCAAATTTTTCTATGAACTGTAGTAACACTCGTTATGTTATACTATATTGTAATAGAATTAGGAATGTCAAACAATCTATCAAAATTATTCTTATCTCCACTAAATGTTGTAAAATTCGATTGAACTTCAATCGATTACTTTTCATTATATTTAACTTCGTTTTCATGTTTTATTGCAAGTTGATTATGTTTTAGTTGAGGATGTGGATGAAGAATACACATATCCACATCCAAAACAAGAAGATTTATATGATAATTATTATTTAATTAGAATGAAAAACTTACAAGACAAACACCAAGTATAATTAAAAGAATTTTTCGAGTTCGTTGTATTTCAGGATCTTCAGTCGATGATAACGGTTTTGAAACAGGTATCCAAGATGTATTTATCATACCAACTTTTCCACTTTCTTGTTTGTATTGCATATCGATGATGTGCACGTTTGATTTTATGATAAGCTAAACGCTACCCAGGTCGAACGCCCACGGTCGTAAACGATCGTTTACGGAGATAAACGGGGATAAACGCAGATCGTACACGAACCCCGTTTACGATGATCGTATACGGGGGAAAACGATGTGAAACGAATTCCGTATACGGAGGTCGTAAAAAAATACGAAGTTCCAGAAGTGTACTGTACAGAGCTCCGTATACGGAGCTATACGACTATCGTTTACGATCGTATCTCACCATATACGATCGTATACGATCGTCATCTGAAATATGACCTTTTGCTTTATGTTTTCGTTGAACATTGCTCGTATAATAATATTCTACGTGGTTACTCATGATACAAGTTTCAGTTTCCGAAATGTATGGAAAAAATTGATTGTTTTTCCAAATAATAGAAAACATACAGACAGCAATTTTTTTCTCGTGCGCCCATTTCAAATATCTTGTTTATATTACGAGAAGAACGCAAGAGATTTTCAATGAAGAGAAAGAAAGAATACATTTTACTTGTTCAATCTCCGGCAGTTTGGTGAAAGAGACATAGCGATGAAAGAAAGAAAAAAAATAAATACATATAAATATACGTTATTCTCCGTCAGTATGGTGAAAGAGATATAGCGACGAAGGAAAGAAAAAAAATATACGTATAAATAGACGTTATCTTCTTCATTTCGTTCATTATTTTATTTTATCATTTAAATATTCAGATAGTAAGTACATATCATGTGATTCGTCAGATATACACACAAGTTAGTGATGTGAATGTTATATTTTCTTGTTGAGTTCAGAAAATATTCCAAAGCACTCTTAGCTATGAACACTGAAGATGTATCGACAGTAGTATTTCATTACTGAATTTGTTTTTTTTCCAAATATTTCATATTTTCTCATCTATTTCGTTTTCAGATGGTGTTATGAAAGAAATAATCTGATGGACAATAATGTATTGGCATCACTTACAGTATGTAAACAACAACATCGAAGACGTTTAATTAAAAAAAAGCATAGACGACGTCATTTATTAAGTATTCGACGAATTCTTCTAGATACAACATATCCTAATTTGTTTATTAAACCTTTACACAATAAAGATATACCAGTTGATGATAATTTAAAATTGACATCATTGCCTACCTTTATTACTGAAGAACAAAATGAACATTCATCTGATGGTATACTTGATTTGTGTGCTAATGAAGAATCATTTGATGATTTAAGTGAACGGAATGTTGATGAAGAAGTATATTACGATTTAGATGAATTAAATATTGATGAACAAGTATCTGATGTATTAGATGAATCTTTTAATTTGGCTACTTCAGCTTTTCCTGAACCTGATTTAATTTTGCACGGCTCAACTAATATTACAAAGAATGAATACTGTAGAAATCTTCTTACTTTATTTCGTGATGCGAAAATTTCCAAAACACATTGTGATAGATTTATTCGTCTTATTCAGTCTGGTCTACCAATACCAAACAACATGCCAACGTCGATGAAAAATCTTTTGGAAGAAATGCAAGGTAAGATTAAATTCAAATTATTTTTACTTGCAAAAAGCTCAGAAGGAGTCATCATTTTTTATTTTTTACAATAAATGTCCACAGTCATATTTTTCTTCTACCGAAAATTGAAACGTTATAACTCAATGCTGAAAAACAATACAAGCGAATGCACCGAACTCTTTTCCAGAAACGTTAAAGCTCTTGAAGTTAATCTACTATAAGAAAAAGAAAAAATTACGAGAAATAAGTTTTGATTCATGCATAAAACGAAGTTACTTTATGGTTTTATAAGAAAGCATGAAATACAAAAAGCTAGTAATTTGTGCAAATTTCTTCTTTATGATCTTTTCCTTAGAGAGAATTAAACTAAATAAAATATATTGAATCAATTACCTTTTACGCATTAAATCTAAAATAATTTTTTTTTGAGTATGTCGTTATACATCACTATGCATCTGATGTCATTTATTTCGTTGTATTCAGAATTGAATTTCTTTTAAGAAAACCGTAATTTCAATTCAAGCTTTTTAGAAATTGAACTTTACTTTGATTGATTTACTATTAGTCGCATAAAAAAATTAAGCTAAGTTCACTTTCAAGTTTAAAATTTTTTTTTGTAAAAAAAAATTTTCTACTGTTAGATATAGCGAATTTGAACCGATATTGTTGAGAGATGGTACGACTAGAAATGAACTATATTCTTCATGAATTTTTATACCAATAGAAGAAAAAATTTCACTAATTGAAATTGCAATATTTACTAAATATAGAATAGTTCAGTATTACAAATTTGATTTCGTGAACTTTGTCTCCAAACGAAATCCGTTATTTCCATTTTGGCACAATCAATCTTAATGATCATTTACTATGTCTTATCGACATGAGAATAATTTTCATTTTCTTCTGTAACATAAGTTCTTAACTTTTCTATCAAGTATTTTTTTTTTGAGATATGTATCGATTCGGTTTTCCCAGCAGATAACTACCTTTATCCGATCGATTGCTTTCTATTTAGAATAGTAATTTAATTTTTTCGTGAGACCTATTTTGAAATTTTTTTTCGAAACTAAGATATAGCTCAATTCTATCTTGAAGGATAAGGAAATCGAGTCGCGAAATCATTTTTCTTAAGTATCGGAGAATGTCTTTGGAATTTATGGATGACAAATCAAAGAAATTTGCAAAATTAAAACTCTATTTTTTTCTAATTGAAGAATTATTTTTGAAAAGATCAATCTGTACGACCTGCAATCAAAATCTTAATCATCATAATGATAACATTAAATGTAATTTAACAGAAGAAAAATTCCATGCTGATATTTATGACATCGATGTTAATATAGTGTTTTATCAATTGATTGATCGTCTATGGCCTGAGATTATCGAATACAAACAACAACTTGCATCAAATTCATCGAGTGAATATAATGATATTCCATTGAATGCTTTATATCGAAATATGATAAGTCGTCTTGCTTATGGTGTAGATTTTGTTAGTCTTATTTTTCATCTTGATGGTATTTCTCTTTGCAAATCTTCAAAACTGACCATGTGGTTACTAAGTGGTATATTTATTGAACTCCCACCTGATTTACGATATAGACGGCATAATATGATTTTATTATCTATATGGATTGGTTACAGCGAACCAAAAGCTAGTACATGGTTATCTTCATGTTTTCATCGTTTAAATCGACTAAAAAAAGAAGTTAAGAATTTTTTATTTCAATTTATATTAGAAAGCGCTAAAAATATTCTAAATACAGAATTATTTAGTAACATTGACATAGATGTATATGAAACAAATCTATTGTAAGAAAAAATGTTTCGACAATAGTCTATATTGGAAAACTATTTATATTATTTATAATAAAACGAAGGCTTCGATGAATGAAGAAAAAAAATGAGCGTAGCTGCTAAAAGTAATAATATTTTTTTTAATCATTTATAAATAGCAAGAACTTTCCCAGAAAATTAACCATTGATATAAACTAAGATCAGAAAATAAGAGAAGGAATGTAATGTATTTTTTTTTCTTGGAAAAATGTATTGTTTTTGTAAAAAATTCATTTTTGGAAACTTCTAGTAATCTGATATAAAGAAAATAATTTTGTTTTTCTCTTTTTTTTTCTTTCAGGTGTGTCGCTGACAAATGGCAAAAAATGTCAAGTATTTTTTTATGGTGTGGTTGGTGATTGTCCGGCTTTAAAGATCGTATTAGAATTCATTGGACATACAGGATATTACTGCTGTTTCTTTTGCTACATTGAAGGTGAACACATTGGAGGCCGTGGTGGAAAAAGACAATATTATAGTGAAAATCATATTCGGCTTCGAGATGAACGACGTTATGAATTAGAATCAATTAAAGCTGTTAAAACATCAAGTAATGTTTATGGACATTTAGGCCGATCAATCCTGCACGATCTTCTCGATGTACCATTTCCTCATTCTATAATTGTTGTTTATTTACATGTATCATTATTACGTCATACCAAGTCCATTGTTAAACAAATTTATAAAAATTTATCACCATTACAAAGAACTAAATTAGATACATGTTTACGTTCGCAAAAATTTCCTCATTTTTTCAATCGTAAACTTCGGGCAGTGTGTGATTTTTCTTTTGTCAAGTAAGTCTAGCTTTTATATAAAAACAAAAGAAATTAGGAAGAAAATATAGTTCTTCAATAAAAAAAAATTTTTTTTTGTTCAATAATATTTTCAATTCATGATATTGTTGTTTTTTAGGCGCTTTCTCTACAGACTAAAAATTTTGATAAAGTAAACTAGGTTTTGCAGATAGATAAATTTTTACAATGTGTATGATATTGTTAAAAATATCTAGTTCTGAATGGTCTACAAAGAAAACTCTCAAGAAGTGATAATAAGTTCGATAAGATCAGTTCACACAAGACATGTGCATTTTTTTGTTCTCAATAATATTTTGACTATATTCGTATCGAGAAATATCGAACCCATTAGACTTGAATGAAGACTATTAATAACTGGAGGTCTTTTTAGTTAAAACATTCTTTGTAAAAATGAACATCCTTAATAATGAGGTTCATGAGGAAGACAAAAGAGTTTGCTCTTAATTTGTGGCAACACAATATTATTAATTTCTTTTGTACGAAAACTTTAAGTAAAATTTTATAACTAAATTTTTTATTTTAGAGCAAGTGAACTGAAGAATCTCTTGCTTTATGCTCTTCTACCACTTTCAATTAATTTTCTACCTGCAGAGCAGTTAGCTCATCTAGCCTTATACGTAACTTCTATACGAGTAAGTTAAAAGATTCTCAATACATTATTATAATCTGTATAATATAGATTATTCATGGAAAAAAAAACTTTGGTTGTAAAACAAGCTTTATGTCGAAAGAACTCTTTCTAAAGTATTACCAAGATCATGCACTGCATTTTGATGGTTTACAAAATATTGTGCTGCATTTTCACGTACACTTTGATAAATTGTTCGATCAACATGGAAGCCTATGCTATTTAGGAACTTTTGGACAAGAAGATTTCATTGGAGCAGTTGGCAAAAATTATCATGGTACTCGTTTTCATGGACAAATGATTACGTATCATTATGAAGTGAGTAGATTTCCATTAAACCTGCCTTTCGTTTCATATTTTCGTAAACTTTTAGATAGATTTTGCTCTAAGAAATAGGGCTTCATCAAATTATTCATCTAGTTTACAAATTATTGATGGTCCTTTAGATAAAGTGAATTTAACATCAAGTATGATTCACGATGTTACTCAATGCCATCTTATGACATGTAGTTGTGATAAGCCTGAGCAATGTATACGTGTTTATCGTCGATGTATGATCGATAAAAGAATTTATCATTCACTTATCTATTCACGTCGAAACTCAACAGTTAGTTTTTTTATACAATATAATCGAAATCAAGACGATTCCAACTTCGGAAAAATTCGATATTTTTTTACATCGAATAATGAAACATTTGCTGTCATCGAGCATCATGAAATTAAAAATAAATTTAGTCAATTCTTCAATTTAACTTCTTATTATGATTTATTACGTAAATCTATAGATTCTTTCTTTTATGTACTTTATTCAAAAGCATTTTCGCTACACTATGTACCTATAACTTCAATACGAAATCATTGTATTATTTTCGAAATGACTGATTATATTATTGTAACTCCAATATCTGTTTATGGTGAACACGATTAAAAATATTTCCGTTTTTGTCCTCAGATGTTTATTTTTTTTTTCCTGTTTAAGTCGAAAGCTCTGAAATTTGCTTAATTGTTTACATTTTCAGATATAAAGAAATTATTATGACAACTACAACTGGACTTGTTCGAGACAAGCGTTCACAAAATCCACGTAAAGTTTTTTCTCCTACTACAACATCTGTACCATTACCTACCAACTATCTTATCTATATGGAAGATACGGTATCTTATTCAATTGTTGGTCGTGCGAGCATCAAGAAAATACAAGACAAAAAGGCAACATTAACCATAAATAAAAAAAAGTTGGTGGGAGAAATTGTTGTTGCTGGTAATTTAGAATTGCATGTGTTCTACAAAAAATATCTATATATATTTTACTATAGGTACTTTTGCTCGTTGTCAAGCTGAATTGAACAAACTTCAAAGAGCTTCACAATCAGTCGAGAAAGGTATATGCAATTATCAGCTTATTTCTTTATTAATTCATTCATTTTTTATATTTCGTAGATAAAATGGCTAGTATTGATCACGATAACATATTGGGAAATTACGAATTTAATCAAAATGATGATGTTGTTGAGAGGAATGAAGATGATGGACAGACAGATGAAGATTTATATGAAGAATCTGGTAAGTTAGAATTGAAGAAACTCAGAAAATGTCTTCAAAAGAAAATTAAAAGTAGAAAAAAAAGTAATTGCATTAACAGATTTACTCTTAAAATTCTTATTTAAAGAAAATATCACGATTATGAATCATATTGCAAACAAACGCACATAACAAGAAAGATAGTTTTATCGATGCTTATAAATATATTATTGATGGCATCAAAAGCCATGTATCTATATTTAAGAGTAATAATTAGCCCATTCATTCACTGCTTCAGATTATGTGTATTTTTTTCTTTTGATTGTTTAATAAAATACTAGAGATCAATCAATAAGACTTTCCTAGATAATCTTAAGCCTGAGGTATTATATTGAAGTATTTTTTTTTCTGTTTACAGGGGAATCAGATAATGAAAACTTTTACCATCAACATACCAATATGAAACGAAAAAATCAGCCTTCGAATTCATTAATTGATGGATCTCGACCAGCAAAACGATGTAAACGAACAAATTTCGACGAAAGTATGTAGTATTTTTCAGTTCTTGAAATTATAAATTAGTTTTTGTATATAATGTTTAAAACTGGTTACTAAGAATGACTAATTTGAGCGGCACGAAAAGCAATGTCACATTTTTTTTTATTTTTATTTGAAATATAGAAAATTTTATCATATCTTTTCCTTGCTGTTTATAGTTTATATTGATTCAAATAATCAAGATGATTCAACACTATGTTCAACAACAAAAAAAGCAAGTTTATCAACAGACGGTCAGTAAACTTACAAAATCTTTTCTATTTTCCCGTTATTTTTATTTTCAATTTACCATTAGGTTGTACATTGAAGTCAATTGAAGAGCAAATGAACGGTTTCAATACAAATATGCTTAAAATGAACCATTCGATTCGCCAAATGGCATCAAGTTCTAATAGAATAGTGAGTAAATTCTTTTAATTTGTAACATACTAATGATTGTACTAGAGTTCACATAATTTTGAATGTTATCGAGACTCGAATTCTCAACAAATATTTCCAACAAACGTTGTAAGTAATGGTGCAGTTGTTTCTGATTATGAAAATTTTCTATCTTGTTCTTAGGATTACAATGGTACAAATTTAATTACAATTGTTGGAAAAGATTTTGGTGATTTTGCTCGTCAAATAATGCGTATTTTATATACACCCGATGAACTTCAAACTTGTATTTTGCCACCACGGCGACCTCATTTATCTCGAGAACCACTTGATCCAGATCGATTTCGCCTTCTTAATGGTTTGTTAAGTTTTCTTTTTCTTTTCTTGCAGTTTAAATACTATTTTCGATTCTTTCTAGAGGCCGTTCGGGTTAAATACCGGCTAGCGACACATTTGTACGATGGTTTCTTCAAGTATCATCTTGGTCCGAAACTTAGTGATTTCTTAGTTGAAGAACGTCGTCGTGATAGTATCAAGATTGCTCGAAACCAAGCAAAATTAGCTGCTTGTCAAGCTGCAACTCAACAACAAAATAATTAATCAACAGCACAGATATTATTATTCAAAAGTAAGTTGAAATTTCTCCAACTTTGATTTTTTTAATATTTACACTGTTTTCTCACGTTATCTTTGTTTCGTGTATTTTATAAACGTTTCTTTACATATATTTCATGTCTTATTTTTTCGTATTTATTGTTTTTTCGTTTACTGTAAGCACTTCTCTATGTATATTTCTTTTTCTAATTTTATTTTCATGTACTTGTTTTCGTGAACATCCTCTATAAATACTTTTCATGTATCTTTTCTGTAAAGATTGATTCTATATGAAACCTGAAAACTGAACAATAAATGATCGAGGTTATTATGAAACCTCATCGATTTCATGACTCTTGCTTTAACAAATAAGAAATGGTAATCAATATCATAATATAATATGAATAAATTCTTGACATAGGCAGGTAAAAACGATCGTAAACGATCATATACGTCTAAAGCACGAGCGTTTACTATCGTAAACGCTCCGTATACGACCTCTGTATTTCATCGTATTTCTCCGTTTACGGCCACGGAGATATACGATCGTAATACTGAGCCATGTAATACGATGGAATACGGTCGTATACGGAGCGTATTGGTCATGTATACGGTCGTATACGACGCCGTATACGATCGTTTACGGGCGTATACGAACTCCATATTCGACGACCTGGGTAATAGTAACAAGAAGAATTATGAAGAAAAGAAACGACGTGATGTATTTTCACTCCTCCACTCAATAATATATTATTAGTATACAGACAAAGCGAGAAAAAAGATCAAATCATTATCAAATGGAGAATACACTTATGCACTTAGGGGCGCTAATTTCTGAAATACTTCGATCACTTTTTCAGAGGGATTACTTAGTATCAAATTGTAGCTTGACAAAAGACAAATCGTTCCATGAAGTCAGATTTTCGGGCCTATTTTTTTTTTCTCGAGAAAATTATTAATTAAGTGGACCAATAGGATACAATGAAACACAAAGGCCAATAATAATAGGGTATGATGTTATGGTTGATATATGCATGCATTCAGAATCAAAAGAGTATCCATTAACAAAAATGAATTTCATCTTTTTAGAGCGTTTTCGATCACTCAATACCGTTGTCTTCCCCATGTCTCCATTCGACTTCTAAAATACAGTAGATAGCAAATCCTTATATAACAGTTTTAGTAATAATCGTGTTGTTTTCTTATCAGTATTTCTAACAGCAGGATCAATCATTGTGACAAAGTAGCAAGCACTCTTGTAATTCTTAGTTGACACTATTGTACAATTTCGTTTTCATCGTTGACAAACTCGATTCTAACTTCCCGGTTTTGTAATCAATAGTGGTGTATTCGATATCATGACATGATAGTCAAAAATTAGATTCAGTGAAATGCTATTCTGTCTTTCAAATCTTATTCTTTCATACTTGATACACTTTTTCTTTCGGCGACCTATGTCAATGTTTGATACGTGTTTACTTTAGAGACAGTGCACCCATTTACAAGTAATGTTTTATATAGAAAAAATCTTCCTTGATTGTAGTAAACTAGTGTGTATTTTTATTTTATGTTACTGTTATCTGGTTTACGAAATCTTAGATAAAAGAAGTCTTCATCGGGTACCATTAAATATTTAAAGTCATATATTTTCTATTGGTCCTTATGTGTAAGTGCGAAGAGTGGTTGCATAAGGTGTAGCACTTTAACTATAAATTTAAATTAAAATAAAAATAAGAGTTCTTTGCAATTTATGTTGCAAAAAGTTAAAGCTGCATTAAATTCCGTGACATTTTTTCTTGTAGAGAAATTATTTTTTGAAAAAAAAGCAAACCCATGTAAGGAAAGTGACCCTTTTTATGAAGAAATGTTTTTTTAAAAAAAAACAATTGTCTTTTGAAAAAAATACTATTTTGTTTTAAAATTAAAATACGAAGACAATCTTGGTACGTACAAGTTTTACGAGAAGAGAGCGGGAGGTCGAGGGCTAAAAAGATCAACTGAAAGCTGCTTTTGAATTCGACCAAAATTGGTAGATTACAGTGATATTTTTACAAATAGTAAGGAAAAAAATGAATAAAATGCTTAAAATTCTTTTGTTAAGGAGTCAAGCTTAGGGTAATTGGGATGTGAGTCTTTCTTCCAGTAAGAAAGCTCTGATAAATTCATATGAAATATGTCTTTTTTTAAAATCCAATCTTAATAATCAAGACTGCAAACTTTGTGATACTTTGTTTTAAAAACAGAGTGTTATTTTACACTTCAACGAGAAAAATAAAGTTTCATTTGATTTTTTTATTTTAGATTTCTATTGGAAACTCCTTTACGTGTCACCTTATTTTTGTTTTTTATCTCTTTCCAGAAAACACATCTGGCACCATCTAAATCAAAACCACGACCATCTACATGTTTTTAAAAAAGCTATGGATCGAAAATGAAGTACAATAAAACAAGCCATAATTCGTTTCATATTTTTTTCTATGATTGTATTTATTTGTTCATTTTTTGTTGATCGTAAAATTGATTTTAAAATAAATTTAACGATCAAGACGATCGTCAATACACAGAAAACAGATTTGATTCATATAAAAGAAAGTACAACAAAACAAACTCAGATGCAATAAGACAAAGTTAAAATTCATTTTGTGAAGCTGTCATTTTCTATTGTACTACCCTTCCATGCTGAAGCTATTAAAGGCTATCTTTTTTTCGATTGGTCAAATTATATCGATTATTTCTCTGGTACAATCACTTTTTTAGAAAAAACTAAAAGCACAGCTCGATAGAGAATTTTTTCTTCTATCTTCTAGTATTAACAAAAACATCGGCCCATTTAATTTTCTAAGAGGTCGCCACACGTAGTGCATTTGATATTGATTCGCTTAAAGCGCTATACTTTTTTCGCTCTGTCGGCATACTATATATAGAAAAGCGAAAAGAAAAAATAATCAGTCCAGACTGATCAAGATCATAGATTGTTGTGCATAGAAAGAAAAACAACACGTATTGACCTACAGGGGCGTACCGAGCCACTTATAGCAGGGGGGGCGTAAATACTTCAGTCGAGAATTTTGCTACATATCAATAAATAGTACTAGGTAATATTAGCGGCTATTAATTGTAAATTTCAGAAGCAGGGGGGGGGGGCGTGACATATGTAAATTTCAGAAGCAGGGGGGGCGTTACGCCCCTTACGCCCCCCCAGTCGGTACGCCCCTGTTGACCTATATGAAGAGATAAAGCAATAAACTATTTTTAACATTATTCAAGAATATTTATATCTGACGTAATCACATATAAAAAAAAAAAAATGAATAAATCGACCATTTCAATAATTTCGTGCAAAGATTCCAAATATTTTTCTTCATAGTGACGACGCTTATTTCATTGATCAAAATTTTTACATTCTTTTATCAATCTAATATCGAGATTGGATTCGTCTTATAATACTTATATTTTTGAAAAATCCTATATTTCAATTGCTATTTCTAATTTTCCTATATTTTGTAAAAAACACTAAGAAAATTTAATTGTATCCTGAGGTGAAGTACAATAGTCTTCGCGGCACTATCCGTCCCTGATCATCACTTTTTACGAAAAATTAAGAAGATAAGAATAGGTGTTTCTTGGAGGTAAGACATATGCAGGGTAGTCTATAAGTAGCTTTATGATAAAAAATTTGATTATCTCTACTATACGACCGCGGTTTTTTTTTCTGTGATGAAGAAGAACTCAGAGATTTTTTTCATAAGAACAACATTTATGAATAGAGTGCTCTGAACTATTACTATTGGCTTCAATCAAATTTTTTAATCTCTTATGAGCTCTGAGAAATCTTATGTAAGCACATAACAATTTCGAATTGTCAGACATTTGATTTAATTAAGAAACAGTTATTTCACATATATTCAATCATAACTAACATAAAATTATCCTATAATTGAATAGAACATGATGAAGTTATGAAAACTTGCTTCCGAAAGTGATTTAGACGTATGATATTTTTTGAAATCCGTAAAAGGTTAAAAAATTTGATTGAACTCAATAGTAATAGTTCAGAGCACTATTCATAAATGTTATTCTTATGGAAAAAACCTCTGAGTGCTCCTCCATTATAGAAAAAAAAGTCTGACCGTATAGTAGAAATATTGAAATTTTTTATCGTAAAGCTACTTATGAACCACCCTGTATTTGCCTAGGAGACGATACTCTCATAAAAAGTCATTTATATAGGTTGATAGAGCCAAAGCTTTTCTATCGAATTGTATATCGAACTTTGCCGGAATTCCATTTTTGAATGAAATGATAGGCAAACATTTTCGTATGTTTTACCTATTAAGCAGAAAAGAGTAGCTATTGAGATTTCAGTAAAAATAATTGAAATTACGATTAGAAAAAAATATTTAGATTCATATCTCCTAAAATAATGAAAACGATTATATTTGAAGTTGGAGAAAATAATCAGAAATGGGAATTTACGTATTTTTTCGTCAATTTCTCCCTTATTGTACGGTCAATGATAAACTTTTTGGTGACCAAAATGATCAGCGTAAAAAGTTCTACCGAGTGATGCTATTTGAAGGCCAATCAGAGATACTTTTGGTATACGTTAAGTAGTATTGATAAAACTAAGATAGAACTATCGTTTCGCTCAATGTTAGAATTGACACTGCTTATGACTGAGTCAGTAGAATTCCTACAGTAATGTTATGTCAACAACAGACAATATTCTTTTTATCATTTTCAGATAATAATATCATCAACATTTGACATGTTTTTATTATTCAAAATATACACTATACTTCATTCATTTAACTGATTACTCATTGGTTTCACTACATTTGACATTACACTTATCATTCTTAATAAAATCGTTTTAACTGGTTCTGTAAATTGAAATAGAGCAATCATAATAAATACCGATGATACATCAACAAATAAATAAGCAATACGAAAATGATATTTTGGTGGAATAGTTACAAAAGATATTAAAATAAATATTAGATAAGGTAAACCGAGTACGACAAGAATAATAACAAGAAAAACAATACGACGAACCATTTCTAATTCTCGTCGTGCATGAAATAATGTATTTGTTGGTGTTACATGTTTACTCATTTCATGTACATATCGAAATAATTTAAAATAGACAAGCATAATAATTGTAAGCGGTATTGTATAAATACACAATGTAGTATATACCATTATTGGAGAAAGTCGTAATGATACTTGACATATTTGATTGTCAACATTATAGATTATCTCACCAGTTAACAATAATGGAAGTGAATAAACAATCGATAAGATCCATTTAATACCAATAAGAAAAGCTTGAAAACGAGCTGATTGCCATGAAACACGAGCTGGATGAACAACAATAATATATCGATAGATAGCTTGTAATGCATATGAATAATTCTGTAAAAAACATGCAATATAACCCATATAACCTCGAAAAATACAAAGTGAATCTTGAAACACAATTTGTTTTATATCATTTTCAAGTGTAAATAAAGCCATACTTATCATAATACATCCAAATAAAATTGCAACTAAACATGAGTTTCCAACAAGCATTAATGATACTGTTCGACATGTTCGATTGGTAACAATAATAGACAAGAAGATACAAGCAAGTAGAGTTGCGATAATAGTAGATATAATCATTAGAATTTCTACAGGAATAAACCATGATTGAATATTTGTTGTAGTTGAATTATTGTTGGACATCATTATTGATGCTGTTACTTCGCAGAAAAGAAAGAACACATGCGTTAGTCGTCTATGTAAGAAACAAGTGTTTATAGAAAAGGTTGAAATAAAATTTATACTTGAGATAAAAAGTCTTCCTTGTATGCACTTGACAAATGTTAATAACTGAACTCAATGCAATGATATGACACAGAGAATCTCTTGACTTTTACTTCTTTTTTATGATTGTTGGCTATTTTTTATATTGTTAGTTGGATAATGAGATTATACTAAAACATGTCTATTTCTATTTTTCTTAATCTGAAACATTTTAATTAAACTATCATTTTAATATTGTAGACAACATGCGATGTAAAAGAAATGGAAAAAAAATATCGAGCTTCACAGCTCAGTCATTGAACAAGTTACAAAGTTTTTTTTCTTATTAAAAAGAGCATAAAAAATACTACAGAAAATTGCGCCTTAATAAACAGAGTATAGTCCACCTTGTCACAGAGCCCGAAGCTTCTTTCGAACACTCGCAACTGCGAGTGATTCCATTAACATCAGTGAATCTATCTTGATTCTAGTGCTCTGAAGTACGCTATTTTGTGACATAATGGTGTCTTTGATTAAGATTCGAAGTCTTGAAAAAAAAACATCAGGTGCACGACACACGGGTTTACAGGCTATATGAGGTATTTGCTTCGTATGGGCTATCCAGCATGAAGGATGAGAGTGTGGAATGTCTGTGTGTAAGAAGAGAATGCCTACACCGTAGTTATGATGAAAGGCTACAAAATGATGGATTAGACCACTCAAAAAGCTTGTCTGTTCTTAAGTTACAAGCTTCACAATGATTGTAGGCACCACCTATTATAACTCGATTGTAGGTCGGACGATTTTAGCGCAAATGTTACCCTCTAACCTAAATTGTCTATGAGTCATGTGCAGAAGAATTTTCAGATGTTTAGCTCTTAGAAAGACTAAAATTCGAGGAAGGCGGGATACTTTCAGTCAGTAGTGTATAGTTGTCTCGATGATATTTGACTAGTAGAGGAGGATTGATACAACATCGATATTCGAGATGTGCAACATTAATTTTTTTTAACTTCAACTTAGAGAAGGCTGTTTCAGAATTTATTCGCATAAAATCTTGAAAAAAAAAGAAAGTCTTAAATACTTATGTTTTGATTAATGGAAGTGGCTATGTGCACTCAGGTAAATATAATCAATTAATTAGTAAATATTGAGTTCCATTACAGTCTTATATGTACTTCATCATCAATATAAGTAAAATATTTCAACTTATTAATAATTTTACTTTATTAATTCTTTATTTCGTTCAAATAAATTACAAATCAAGTACTAGAATCAAACTAATATAGAAAAAAAGTTCATTCAAATAAGCATCAACAATTTTAAAAACATTTCTAGCACTTATTCTCTTAGACTCCGAAGAAAAAAGTTGTATTTCATTATTTTCAATACATTTAACGAAAATTATTTTATGCTAGCTCTTTTCTTCTGTATTAACTGCATTTTTTATTTTAATTACTTATATTATAGAAGGGAAGATTTTATATTGTTGTTATCACTTAATTGACTTACAAAATGAGAAATTGAAAAACATAAAAAGCCGACTATGTTTTAGTCTATGATGATATCCTTTATTGAGATACATGAATTAATTTTCACTTCAATCTTTCCTCTATCCCTGTTCATTAGCACTTGAAAATTAGAGGGACACGTTTGATGTAATCTCATTTATAGTAGTAAATAAATATTATGATAACGTCTATTATCACTAGTACCTTATATTATTGTACTTGAAACCAAGTAGTTTATTCGTTCAATGATACTCGCATACCAGTCTCGCAGTGTTGACGCTTGATTAAACGTTCAATGCGAACAAATATTTCAACACAACTCTTCAACTATAAAAATGAAACAAGATTAAGATTTTTCCTTGGATGAGAATATTTTTCATCACCAAAATGCTCCAGTATTCATTTCGTCTTATTATTCTCAAAAAAGGATGCGTGTGTGTACATGATCTTCTTATTCATAGTCCCATGGAATAATACAGGTATCATCAACCGCACTCTCACCCACACTGATCCGCACATTCCTGCATTAAAAAAGGGTGAATAACTAGTCAGCATGTGAACACTAATGATGTCGCTCTTTTACTCAAGATCTTGGGAGAAGATAATAGTAAACGATATCTTTCCTATGATTTTGACAGAATCTTAAGTACAGATTTATCTGAGACAACCAAAATATTCACGTACAAGTTGTTTTTTCGAGATATTATGAGGATCTTGCTTAGAAGATGTTCGACTAGAGTTGGATGCTTTCAATAACCAGACATGAATTTCCAAATAGAAAAATATTAGAAACTATTGGAAAAAAAGGTTTGGCTGTATTTTGTGAGGAATTAGATTGTGATAAGCATGAGTAACATACAGAGATTTGCAGTCATAACTATGTTCAATATACATGCTCTCACACGAATATGCACAATAACCAATTATATATTTAGCCCATGCCTAGATGATGAATATCAGTCGTGAAAAATATTATTTTCATTTATTATGTTTTTTTTAATGAACAAACTCACCAACATTGGAGAAAAAACTGACTAAAGTAACTAAAAAAGATAGTTTGAAGTTCATACAGACATTCAGTCTAAATAATTCTATTTTAATAGCGTTTAAACTGTTGTATCCGATGATTGTAACAGTCCGAAACATATAGATTGAGTTGACTGTCAATTGCCACCGAGAACGGCCCGTTGAGCTCGTCATCACCCGAGCCACGTGCACCTGAGATTTCGGCGATGGTTGTTGCATTCATTTGGCCCGCCAGAAAAATTTGTATGCGATGATTACCACTATCGGCGACATACATATTACCCATGGAATCAAATGTTACATCTCTGGGACTAGTAAGTAACATGGATGTACTACCGAATGCTCCAATACTACTACCAGCTAACAGCGACCAATTACTGGCTCCTATAATCCAGCGTACAACATTGTTGTCACCTTCATTACCAATGGCAATACTATGCGTCGACGAATCGTAGAAAATACCTTTGGGAAGATACAATTGTGTCACATTGATTCCCCTTCCATTACCGCCAGCAACTACAGTACCATTAGTTGCACCTGGTAGGTATTGTACTATGCGATCATTGCTCTCATCCGCTATATAAAGTGCACCAGAGCTTGAGTCCCATGCAAGACCGTACGGTTGTATAGTTGATCGGTAGCTGAGCTGAAAGTTCCTAGAAAGAAACGCTGACAAGTTCTCTACAGCTTGACACAAAACTAAAGATAGAAGACTTAATGTACAATCGAAAATAAGAATATCGCATAGCTAGCCATCGATCGTTCGTCCATGAGAAGGCCTCGAAATTACAAAAGTAAATAAAACTATCGACAGTTTATCATAAATGTTGCAAGCTGTGAGTTATTTAGTAAAAAAGTAATATAAACTCGATTTTTCTTTCAAGAGGTATCGGAAAAAAAGATTTATTGATTGATTTCACCGAAACACTACTTTTACAGATTATGGCATTGAATTTTTCATCGAAAAGTGAGTTAGAAGCATTTATGTCAATACGAAGTGTTAAGTTCTCAAACTTTTCCATTGAAAACATTTAAGATAGAAACTCATGACAAATGAAATTTCACGGCGGATACTGTTTTTATTTTACTATTCGATGTAGTTATACTTTTATCGTGTAATTTATGCTGTTTCGGCCACTATTTTGCTCCTGGTAAAGTGAAGACATCAATGGTTAGTTTGATACTCAATGCATTGATTAGCATCAATAGATTACCATTTACTCATGCCAAGGTTACAAAACGTGAGCTTGAGAGAGCAGTATACAGTCGCGTGAATTTTCTGTAGAGCTCAAAAAAGAAACCTCTACTACTACGAACATACTTGTTTCGAGTAAACAAGTTAGAATCTTCATTACAAACTTGTTTTTCTACTTTATGTTTGTATAATCTAAGAAATTGTAAGCAATATGAAATTTTTGACATCATCAATCAAAAGGGTCTTTGAGTGAGTGCGTTACCGAAACGTTCTTCTGCATATATGTTCCTTAACTTTCAAGTTTCAGTTTGTCGTAGAAAATTTTTTAAAGCTTTTCTTAACGTTTATTCTTCTATGACATATTCATTACTTAGCATAAGAATTACTGTCAGCACAAGTACGATTCCATTTCTTCTACCTGTGCCTGCAACCGTCGTTCCTGATGTTGAACCATTAGTCCAACGTTGAATACGTTGATAACCTATGTCTGACACGTAAACAGTGCCGTTAGAGTCGACTAAGACATCGGTAGAATTAAACAAATAAGAAGGGCCAAAACTATAAGTACCATCTGCCTGGCCAGCCACAGTTGTGCCAGATGACGCTCCAATAATCCATTTTTGAACGCGATTATTTGCCGCATCAGCTACATAAATTGCACCTGATGAGTCTACTACCAAGGCATAAGGACTGTCCAGTTGGCTAGATCCATTACCTGAAGAACCAATAATACCAGCTATAGTCTTAGCAGTTGCATTCCAACGATATGAAATCGCAGTAGTAGCTATAAATATTAAATCTATTATATATATTGTATCCTATTCCTCACTTATCTTGAACTTTTGTTATAATCAATTTTTATATTTGATTAAATTAGATCATGTGAATTTTTCGATCAGTAATAGTGGAATTGGAAAGAAATCCACAAACAACACATATTAAATATTGTTTTCGGTGTCTTTCAACCTTTTTAGGTAACTGTCTACAAAGTTTAGACAATAATTTAAATTTCGATGTAGGTAATTTATCAAAGGTATCAATCTTACTTTGTACGCCAGTTAATCGTCAGTTGCCCTAGTTCCATTTTATCATTGTTCTTCAAACTTTGAGGCATCGAATGATGTTTTATCGTCTTAGAAAAGTGCATTTTATTGGATAGTCGATCATCGTTTGAAGCTGCTACCTAAAAAGATCAACAACATTCATATAGATCAGTATGTCTAACTCATGCCTATTATTTTTGTTGGTACAATATCATTCTGTTTTGTAGAGAGACGTCCTAAGAACAAGAAATACCTATGAAAACTTTCGAGATTTAGAATGTTTCAAGATGGTAGACATTTCGGTAGATTGATATGAGTCGATTTAGCTCTATAACTATGTGTTAGTCAATAATGTTCGCAAATTCCAAATATAAAATGTCTATTTCTATTATAGTTTCGTAAGCTTATATTCTCGAAATTTCTTAAACATCAGTTACTCAACAAATAATCAAAATTTGAAAGGTATCGTTTTCTCCTTTAGGGCACCAATATTTTTTTGTGAAGAAAAAACAATGCAAGTCATTCGTTTGTTTAATCAATTCAGGTAATAGTAAAGCAAAAAACTTTAGTTAAAACCAAAGTCAAGAAAAGCCTTCGATCAGATAAAGAAAAATGCAGTCTTTTCAGTGTAATAACGTTATTGAATTATATTTATCGACGATCAATCTTACTCATTTATATTCTTGCTGGCCGTTGAAAGAAAACTGTCATGCTCAAGATTTTGATTCGAACATGAGTCTTTAATATTTGCACAAGCACGAAAAAGTTTTGTTTTTTTTAAATTGAAAAATTTCGGTAACTATTGAGTAAAAGAAAGAACGAAATTTTTATAGATTGGATGCCATTTCGTCCCCATTCTTCCGCCTAGAATTGCACATGCAAATAATTTATAATAAATCTAGCTTAGGAATTTTAGGGAACTTCTTTTTTTTTTTTCATTTTTTCACCTTTCACACGAAAGAAGCTCGTGTATTACATAAAGCATAGATGAATATATTAATCAATATTATATTATTCAAGTATATTCTTACAAGTGACTTGTATTGATTGTATCGTTTATCTGATTTCTTCGAATTTTTACATTATGTGAAACCAAGGCATTTGACGAACATCAGACGTATCAAAATGTGTGCTGCTTATTTTGATTCTTATTGGAGTTAGTTAGACTATTTGCAATGATATTTAGAGAAAAATCGATATGGTTGACAGTTTCTTGTGTTCAGATTTTTCTTGAAACCACTAAGTTTAGCTATATTTTCATCAATAGAGTTGGCATATTTTGTTACTTTGTGCATCAATGAGCAAGATGGCTGGAATCAATTTATAGTTAACTTTGGCAGCGCAAATGCTATTGCATCATATACAATTCATGTTTATGCTAATTATAGTAACTCCTGCCGAGAGAGAGCTATATTTATATTCAATCGAAGTTTCAATTCAACAATAATTGATTACCAAAGCTTACTTTATTATAATCATTCAGGCTTCTATGCTTTGTGCACGATAGTAAAGAAAAGTTTATAATGTTTCTTTTCATTTGGACTGTGTGTTGCTATCCACGAGAAACAAAAATTTATTTCTAACATTAGTGGAAGGTAATGGATTTTACAATCAAAAGATATATATATTAGCAGATGAGTACCATAGTCTAATTAAGAGTAGACATCTGTAATATAAGAACAAAAAAAGAGATTCAGAAAAAATTTATTTCATCGATATATTACAGTTAAATTTTCATGCTTTCAAAAATATATGGGTTATTGACAACGTGGGTGTGATATAAAAATAAGACTTGAAATCAAACCCATTCAGCTTCAAAACTAACACGAAACTCTCACCCAACATCACCTTTCAGGACTTGAGCGTAGATCAGAAATTTTAAGACACAATGAACTTCACTCACCAAAGATTTATCAATCAAGTTCAAACCCTAAAACATTAATCGAGCGGTTCGAGTTCGATTTCCAGCTAAGATTTAGGTTCAACAAATTGTAATCGACTTCATATAGATCCTTATCTACTTTAAAAACTTTCTCGAGGGTGTGGGTGAACATAAGAATAACACCCACACCCTAGTTTTCAATCAATATCTCATCGAATTTGTTTTAGAAATTATCAATGGATTTCATCAACAGTTGAAACTAATTCTGAGCAGAGAAGATTTCTTGTTCAATCAAGCTAGAAACTCAGCTAGCAATCGAACGAACGACTTTTTTTTTTTAAATAAAATATCTTATGAATACATGAATATTAAGTCAACCTTAAAGATAATATTATTTATATTATCTGTCAAAACATATTCATATGAAGACGCAGGGCAGATATTTTTGTGCTAAACAATAAAATTATAGTATATTTCAGTTTAGTCGATAACTTTACCTTAAGATCATTAAAAAGAATATATTGTCCAGTATTTGTAAACAATATTTTTCACAGACAAATTTATATAAAGTGTAGAAAAAATATTACAATATTTGATGTTTTGCAAATATCTCACCATAGATAAATCATATAATCTTGATTATTTTTTTCAAAGAGGCACTGTGAAACGTTGTATAAACAAATTCTTATTGCAAAACAAAAACTCTTCGAAATGTTTTTATTATGTTAAATATAATGAGACATAGCACCATCATGTGATCTGTTCATTTTTAATATAAGAAACACTATCAGAAAAGTCAATAGGGATTTGTTCTTCCTGTTTTTCTAGAGCTTTTCACGGTGCATGTATTTTTAAGAGAAAAAAAAATCAAAATCATATGATTTATCTATTGCAGGATATTTATTCTGGTTTGAATTATTTGTCATTCAATATGGTTATGATATTTGATGTTTGTGATTTATTAGATTATTAATTTAAAGATTTATCTGATAATAAAAATGATTCTACTTCTGTATTATTTATTTATTCAATCTATCAAACGAAAATTGTTAATAAACAATGGTTGTCTTGTTATGTATTATTCTTAAAAAAAAAAGAGATTTCCTAATTAATATATGACGTTTAAATATTTTATAATTGTAAAATAAAACTTAAAAATTATATTAACTTAATCAATAATTGTTTCAATTCGTTATTTATTTAAATGGTTTTTAAAATCTTTTATGTGTAAATACATTATATTTTTTACATATATCAAATTTCGATCATTAATTATTAATATTTTTTTATGAATAGAAAAATGTTAGGTGAGAAAGACGAAGAAAAATATAAAATCATCATACTTTTTATTTTTACGATCGATAATGTATGACTTGATCATCTATTATGGTATACAATCATCAACATATGTATATATATATTTACCTCGTTTTGTTTTCTCTTTCATTTATATAGGTAGATGAAAAAGTAATTAGGAATAGCCAACTTTGCATTACACATAGGTGAAAAAACACAGTTCTTATTATTTTTTTTCAACTAATAACACAAACAACAATATTGAAGAATAAAAAATGTCTCTTTCTGAACAAGATTTACAAAAATATGTTGGACAAAATGTTGATGATACTCAAAAAGAATTAGAAAATGAAGGTAAGAAAATCTTTTTTTTCGTTTCATTCTGATATATTATTATTATTATTCAAGGTTATAAAGTACATCTTGTTAGTACAGGCAGATGTGCTACTGGTTGTGTACCACCAAACAATCCACACAGGAGTGCAGATGGAACAGTCACTCAAGATAAGCGTGCTATTATTTCGTTTAATGGAGATGATCCTGAACGCAAAATTACATCTATTCGTCAAGATTAATATTTTATTTACAAAAAGAAAGACTGTTGAATACTAACAAATCATTTTTAATTTAGTTTTTATTCATAATAATAAATAAACTATTCATTTTATTATAAAATTTTTAATTTAAAAATAAAAATACGGCATTCTATGTGACAAAAAAGTATTGATCGCAATATCAGATTAATAAAGTATATAAATAGTTAATGTTTTGTAACGTTGTGAATTTCTTTCTATGTTGATAGCTATCAATGAAAGATAGAGATATCAATCATTTTTATTGTCTATTATAAGGTGCCGGCAATGCAAATTTTCAGTAAAAATGTTTTTTGTGCCTTTTTTTCGTATCATTCGATAGAGCATGAGCTGGTGATCACGAAAATCTACTTTTTAGCCTTAACAAATGCTTCTTTCAGGTCGAAAAATATGAAATACTCGAAAGGTTCGAAATTTTCTACTTTATTCTTTTTTTTGCTCCGGAAAATATTTTTTCAGCCACCCCATCAACAACTGAATATAAACAAGTTGTTAAATAGACTCTGGACTCGAAATTCTATTGGTGGTGGCGCTTCGAATCGTATGGAGTGAGATATGTATAGGTGGATTTTGTAAACGTATCTAGTGTTTGCACGTAAACAATGGAGCCAAATATTTTGTCTCATTCTATTTACCATACCACCCCACACGATGCTACGAATCGGTTTTTTTTCTTTTCTTTCCTGTGTAGAGAAAAATCGTCTTTACTAAATTGTAGGCAAAATAACTAGGATTCTGTCCGTATTTCTCAATTTTCTTCATCAAACCTATGTTTTCATGCAATAATACTATCATATTCAGAATGAACATCAAAAACCGCATCGATCTATGAACATTTCGAAAAATTTCATCACCTTCCATTTTTTAGTGAGAATTTCAGCCACAACATCAGTGGAAAATTCGAAAAAAATTGTAGTCAACAGAAACGATAAAAGTATACATAGATCAATGCGATTTTTTATGCTGATTCTGAATATGATAGTATTATTGCATGAAAACATAGTTTTGATGAAGAAAATTGAGAAATACGGACAGAATTCAAGTTATTTTGCCTACAATTTAGTAAAGAAGATTTTTCTCTACACAGGAAAGAAAAGAAAAAAAACCGATTCGTAGCATCGTGTGGGATGATATGGTAAATAGAATGAGACAAAATATTCGGCTCCATCGTTTACGTGCAAACACTAGATGCGTTTACAACATCGACCTATACGTATCTCACTCCATACGATTCGAAGCGCCACCACCAATAGAGTTTCGGGTCCAGAGTCGATTTAACAACTTGTCTATATTCAGTTTTTGATGCTGAATCTGAAAAAAATATTTTCCGGAGCAAAAAAAAGAATAAAGTAGAAAATTTCGAATCTTTCGAGAAAAGATATGTTTTTCTCCAAAAACGACACCTTTCCAGTATTTTATATTTTACGACCGGAAGGAAGCATTTGCTAAGGCTAAAAAGTAGATTTTCGTGATCAGCAGCTCACGCTCTATCCAATGATGTGAAAAAAAAGCCAAAAAAATTTTTACTGAACGTTTGAATTGCCTGCGCCTTATATGATTTGATCGTCTATTGTCGTGTTCAATCATCGACATATTTATTATGTATATTTATCTCGTCTTGTTTTCTCTTTTATTTATATAGGTAGATGAAAAAGTAATTAGGAATAGCCAACTTTGCATTACACATAGGTGAAAAAACACAGTTCCTATTATCTTTTTTCAACTAATAGCGCAAACAACAATATTGAAGAATAAAAAATGTCTCTTTCTCAACAAGATTTACAAAAATATGTTGGAAAAAATGTTCATGATGCTCAAAAAGAATTAGAAAAACAAGGTAAGAAGATAGTTTTTTTCATTTCATTCTGATATATTATTATTATTATTATTCAAGGTTATGAAGTACATCTTGTTAGTACAGGCAGATATGCTACTGGTTGTGTACCACCAAAGAATGTACATATAAATGCAGATGGAACAGTTACCCAAGATAAACGTGCTATTATTTCGTTTAATGGAGATGATCCTGAACGCAAAATTACATTTATTAGTCACGATTAATATTTTATTTACAAAAAGAAAGACTGTTGAATACTAACAAATCATTTTTAATTTAGTTTTATTTATATTAATAAATAAACTATTGATTTTATTATAAAATTTTTAATTTAAAAATAAAAATACGGCATCCTATGTGACAAAAAAAGTATTGATCGCAATATCAGATTAATAAAGTATATAAATAGTTTATGTTTTGTAACGTTGTGAATTTCTTTCTATGTTGATAGCTATCAATGAAAGATAGAGATATCAATCATTTTTATTGTCTATTATAAGGTGCCGGCAATGCAAATTTTCAATAAAAATGTTTTTTGTGCCTTTTTTTCACATCATTCGATAGAGCATGAGCTGCTGATCACGAAAATCTACTTTTTAGCCTTAGCAAATGCTTCCTTCCGGTCGAAAAATATGAAATATTCGAAAGGTGCCGTTTTTCGAGAAAAACATATCTTTTCTCGATAGGTGCGAAACTTTCTACTTTATTCTTGTCTTTGTCCCGGAAAATATTTTTTTCAGATTCAGCATCAAAAACTGAATATCGACAAGTTGTTAAATCGACTTTGGACTCGAAATTCTATTGGTGGTGGCGCTTCGAATCGTATGGAGTGAGATATGTATAGGTTGATTTTGTAAACATATCTAGTGTTTGCACGTAAACGATGGAGCCAAATATTTTGACTCATTCTGTTTACCATACCACCCCACACAACGCTACGGATCGGTTTTTTTCTTTTCTTTTCTGTGTAGAGAAAAATCGTTTTTACGAAATTGTAGGCAAAATAACTAGGATTCTGTCCGTATTTCTCAATTTTCTTGATGAAAACTATGTTTTCATGCAATAATATTATCATATTCAGAATCAACATCAAAAACCGCATCGATCTATGAACATTTCGAAAAAAATTGTAGTCAATAGAAACGATAAAAGTATACATAGATCGATACGATTTTTTATGCTGATTCTGAGTATCATAGTATTATTGCATGAAAACATAGTTTTCATGAAGAAAATTGAGAAATACGCACAGAATTCAAGTTATTTTGCCTACAATTTAGTAAAGACAATTTTTATCTACACAGGAAAGAAAAGAAAAAAAACCGATTCGTAGCATCGTGTGGGATGGTATGGTAAATAGAATGAGACAAAATATTTGGCTCCATCGTGTACGTGCAAACACTAGATGCGTTTACAAAATCGACCTATACATATCTCACTCCATACGATTCGAAGCGCCACCACCAATAGAGTTTCGGGTCTAGAGTCGATTTAACAACTTATCGATATTCAGTTTTTGATGGTGAGTCTGAAAAAAATATTTTCCGGAGCAAAAAAAAAGAATAAAGTAGAAAGTTTCGTACCTTTCGAGTATTTTATATTTTTCGACCGGAAGGAAGCATTTGGTAAGGCTAAAAAGTAGATTTTCGTGATCAGCAGCTCACGCTCTATCCAATGATTTGAAAAAAAGGGCAAAAAAATTTTTACTGAACGTTTGAATTGCCTGCACCTTATATGATTTGATCGTCTATTATGGTGTTCAATCATCGACATATTTATTATGTATATTTATCTCGTTTTGTTTTCTCTTTCATTTATATAGGTAGATGAAAAAGTAATTAGGAGTAGCCAACTTTGCATTACACATACGTGAAAAAACACAGTTCTTATTGTCCTTTTTTCAACTAATAACACAAACAACAATATTGAAGAATAAAAAATGTCTCTTTCTGAACAAGATTTACAAAAATATGTTGGAAAAAATGTTGATGATAGTCAAAAAGAATTAGAAAAACAAGGTAAGAAAATCTTTTTTTTTCATTTCATTCTGATATATTATTATTATTATTATTCAAGGTTATGAAGTACATCTTGTTAGTACAGGCAGATGTGCTACTGGTTGTGTACCAGAAAAGAAATTACATATGAATGCGGATGGAACAGTTACCAAAGAGAAACGTGCTATTATTTCGTTTAATGGAGATGATCCTAAACGCAAAATTACATCTATTCGTCACGATTAATATTTTATTTACAAAAAGAAAGACTGTTGAATGCTAACAAATTATTTTTAATTTAGCTTTTATTCATATTAATAAATAAACTATTGATTTTATTATAAAATTTTTAATTTAAAAATAAAAATACGGCATTCTATGTGACAAAAAAAGTATTGATCGCAATATCAGATTAATAAAGTATATAAATAGTTTTTATGTTTTGTAACGTTGAGAATTTGTTTCTATGTTGATAGCTATGAATGAAACATAGAGATATCAATCATTTTTATTGTCTATTATACCAGTTTTATTCTACATTTCACAGCAGATTGATTGAAAATATAACGAATTAGTTTTCATAGTTGCCAATTGATCTGAAGTATTCAGAAGAGGGAGGAGAAGGATTTCATAGGACAGAATATTTAAATATATTTACGTATGATTATGATATTTTTATAAATCAGATACACTAAACATGACATTTTATTCTTAAATAAACCTACTTTTTGTCAGAAAAGATCGAATTTTACGAAAAAGCCGTGAAGTAGGGCCAAATTTTACTAGTATACGTAATTTTTCATGTTCTATCGATTGGTGAGGTTTAAAGAGTCAAAAAAGTTGTGCGTCATAGTCAAAGTTTAATAAAACCTCGATTTTTTCTTATTTTTATGATACAAAGTGGTGGACATAAATTTAAGGCGTTTTTGTTTTTTGTTACAACTCAGCCGCATGTATACCTAGAGATCTAATTCTTTCATTGTTAGAAAGACCTTGTTCAGGACTGTGTAATCTGAAAAAATTGTCAAAATCATATATGTTTTGGATGAGTTATGATGAAAACAATTTGATCCCAGTGAACATAAATATAAGGCACTTTTAGCATTTTGCAGTTAGGGGTGGGACTTTACCTTTACTTTACTAGTAAC